CCAGAAAGAGTTTCCCCACCCAAAGCCATTGGCAAGGATGCATGGCAAGTAGCTCCACCTCTGCAGCTTGCCCGACCACACAGCTTCAGCCAGCTCACCTCCATCCTGTGGGGCTCAAGGGTGCTGCCATCCCGGCCACCAAACAGCTGCCTTTTTTAGCCATTTTAGCTGGGGAAGTCCCATCATGGCTCTCGTTGAAGCAGGGGTCGGGTCCTCACCGCCACAGCCCTGGCAGCAACTGCAGTGGAAAAGAGTTGTCAAACACGGCTCAGGAAAGGCTCACGCTTGACAAATATTTGTTGAGCTGATTGTAACCTGCCCGGTTCATGCTCCTGAATGCAGAGAACCTGTGGGGAAGGGTTTAAAAACCCCGTAATGCAAGCTGCCTTCTCTTCCTCCCCCTGCCCTCTCTTGCTCCCCTGGAGAAAGTAATCTCCTCACCCCAGCTGATCTCTCCCAGCATGGAACACAGCTGGACCGGGCTGTTAAATGATGCTGATCACTCTGGGGTTATATCCCCAGGAGTTTTATATGGCCAGAGCCAAAGGCATTGGCCAATGTGACCCTAGAGGAGCCAGGGAGATGCCTTGTTGCAGTTGGCTGAGGTGGTGTCTCCTGCTCCATCTCTGCAGCTTGCAGCAGACCTGTGGGCTGTGCGTGTGGCTACCAGCGGGTATGGCAGGGCATCCTGCACACCCACGTGTGGCCACAAAGGTACCTGGGGCAGGGGGATGTTTGGGAGAGAGGTTCTTAGTAGCAGGACATGCTCCAGGACCGATGGAGCTCCTGAGCTGGCTGAGGGCAGAGTAAAGAAGGAAGTATTGAAAATAAAAGCAAAGCTGCTGTGACATTTTCATGCTTGGCTTCTGACATCCTCTCCCTCTCGTACACTTGACTTCCTTGCTTATTTTTATCAGATGAAGCTGATGGTCGCTGCTACGGTAACCCTGTGTGGTTACAGCTCTGGCAGTGAAGAAGTGCTCAATGCATGTTTCCTTTGTGGCTTCCCTCCCTGCTCCGTCTTCCCACCCCTCAGGGCTCTCAAAATAGTGTGTTTGATTTTGTTATGCCGTTTTGTGAACATTGCCTGTTGCCATGGGCAGGGGTTCACCCCCCCAAAGCCTCTGCTCACTTGGCCCACTGGCCACTGATGTCTCCCCCTCTTCTTGTCCTACCTCTGCTGTCTTTGGTGAGCAAAGTACAGGTCTCTGACCCCAAGTATGGGGCTGGATTTATTTTTGTTGTTGTTGTTTTAACATCAAAAAAGCACAAAACAACTCTCCCGGGGCTGGTAACTTGGGTTGGGGGAAAAAGCTCTTCATTGTCAGGGTAAAGTCTGATTTGAAACAACAAAAACCACTTCTCTTGCCTTGAGCTCACTTCTTCCCCTTTTAGAGTCATTATGGGCAAGGTGGCACCAGAAGATAAAGGCTGGTGCTCTCTCCTACACCGCAGAAACTAGTTCATCTCCTAGGGCTTCCCACTACCCCCATGTAGTAATGACCTACGTCTCCTGGGCTGATACCAGAGACTCATCAGTGGATTTATCAGTGCTCCAGTCTCATTAAAGTAATTTCTGTTGATGGTGTTTTACTAGGTCTTCCAGGTGAACTTCCACAGAGAGAACGTGTGGAGGGGGACGGGCATCCCGGGGCATGTCCTGGCTGCACATCCAGCCCCTCAGGCATGAAACCACGGGGCCATAAAGGTCCTTCAGGAGTACAGTCCCCTGCTATTGCACCTTACAACCCCATCCTCCTCCCCTTTCTGCCCCCGTAGCTAGCAGTGACCCACAGTGCCCTTCCTCACTCCCATTTTCTCCAGCTCTGCTCATCGTTGGGTTCACACAAGGCACCACCACCAGTCCCAGGCGTTACCTGGGTGAAGGTGGTTTCTTTGAACTCAGTTACCTCCCTGGGTGTTGGGCCTGAAACCTCTTCCCTCCGCCTCCCAAAAACCACGCTCACAAGCTTTCATTTTTGCTATGACCAGTTTGCACATTCTTCAGCAGAGCTGCTTTCCAGCCAGGCTTGCACAGCCCTTTCTGAAGGTGGATGACAGCTGTAGCCGTATGAAAAAAACCCTACCTTTTTAACCAGAGTGGCTGAAAAGCTGGTTTGTCCACAATTCTGGCCTCTGGCAGGCCCCAGGCAGAGCTGCAGCTGCTTCACAGGAAGCCTTTCTGCTGCTGGGAGCCCCTGCACACTTCACTGCTGCCCAAGCATACCTGGGCTCAGAAACCCTAGAATCATAGAATAGTTCAGGTTGGAAGGGACCTTAAAGATCATCCAGTTCCAACCCCCCTGCCGTGGGCAGGGACACCTCCCACCAGACCAGGTTGCTCCAAGCCCCATCCAGCCTGGCCTTGAACCCCTCCAGGGATGGGGCAGCCACAGCTTCTCTGGGCAACCTGTTCCAGTGTCTCACCACCCTCACAGGAAAGAATTTCTCCCTAAGATCTAATGTAAATCTCCCCTATTTCAGTTTAAAGCCATTACACCTGTGGCTCCCCTCCTGACCAAGAGTCCCTCCCCATCTCTCCTGTAGCCCTCTAGGTAGGACTCTAAGGTCTCCCCGGAGTTTTCTTTTCTCCAGGCTGAACAATCTCAACTCTCTCAGCCTGTCCTCACAGCAGAAGTGCTCCAGCCCTCTGATCAGGGGACCCTCAATGGGTCACAGCAGTACCCCCCAGCCCTCACCATTTAATTCCAGCTTTTCACCAGGAGACCCTTGCAACACAGCAGCGACAACCTTGCAGTAAGATGGGCAGACGTACCCAGAAGGTGCTCCCGGAAGCAGAGATTTCTACCAACCACAGGGATATCGGACTGGTGTGGAATTAAATTTTTTGGTGCTTCTGTCAGGTCCAGGCCCAGCTCTTTGCTTTCCTTAAACCATTCGTTTTCTGTCCAAACAGAAGGAAAAAAAAGGCATCATTTGAACCATGAAATGCTCAGAGCTTTTTTCCTCAAGCAAGGATTTAGGCCTGGTAACTGCTCTTGTTTATACAGGGATGCTTGGTGCCCAGGATTGCTTTTGGGGAGCTCAGAGCACGTGCGTTACAGTCCATTGCTCATCATCCCTTGTTCTCTTCCAGGCGACTTTGCTGGCAGTTGGGGGACTTGGTCTTGATAGTGCTTCGAAACATATGAAAGCAGATGAACATCACAGGGATGAAACTCCATGTCCTCGGCTGCTGGGAACTTCTTGTAGGAGCTAAAATGGGAAGGTGGCGTCCCAGGTCATCCTCACCAGCAGCTGGAAGGCAGCATTGAGTCTCCTATTGCTCGAAATGATAAAGAGCAGTGGTTACACCATGCAGTGGGCCTATGTCCAGGGAATGGCTGTTCCCCACGCGTAGCGCTGAAGGTGAATTATCTTCACACTCCTGCAGAGCAACAATTTTTCTCAGCTGCACCCAAATATAGGCAAAGCCAGATGCCACAATTTCATCTGCACAGCATGTTTCAGGTGACTGTGGGCTTTGATGAAGCCCAACAGGAGTGGATACACACCGAAAGCAACAAACCAAATATTTGTGGAGTGAACACAGGCTGAACTAAGCAGGGCAGCATTACACAGCTTTGCTGTGTCATCAGCTGCAACTACAGGGCAAAGCTTTGAGGACAAATGCCTCAAGTTTAAATGAGATGCAGAAGATGAAACATTGCTGTATGTGCAAAGAAAGGTCTCTATGCCACCCATTAAGTTCTTGGGATGACTCAAGGTCAACCACTGAGCAGCACGCCCACTTTCACTTGGTCATAGAATGGTTCAGGTTGGAAGGGACCTTAGAGATCATCCAGCTCCAACCCCCTGCCATGGGCAGGGACACCTCCCACCAGACCAGGTTGCTCAAAGCTCCATCCAGCCTGGCCTTGAACACCTCCAGGGACGGGGCAGCCACAGCTTCTCTGGGCAACCTGCTCCAATGCCTCACCACCCTCTGTCATGAAAGTTCCAGTTTGACCATAGCAGCTAGAGACAAGGACCAGAAAAGAGCCCACTTCCCACCAGCACTGCCCCAGGCTGACACAAGGCAGAGTGAGCCCTGCTCAGAGGCCAGCCCTTCTGGTGTGGCCCCAAAATACCATGATGCATCAGGAAACAAAGCGAGTGGCTCCATTCTGACATGAGCCTGAAAAACCTGTTTGTGTGAGGCACATGGAAGTGGCAGACAATTTCAATTCATTCACAGCTTCCCTAATTAGTGCTGTATTTTAATCAGAAACATTCTGGGGCAGGACTAAGCATCTTCCTCGATCTTGGAAATACTGCAGCAGCTTCTACAAGGACAGTAACTCCATGCCTAAGGAGGGGAAGAAATCAAGGTACCTTAGCTAGAGGCTGATTGAAGAAAAGGAGAAGGAAGCTTCAACATTGCATTTATGTTTCCATGGCTTAAAACAGCCACAGGGGTTGAGAACAATACAATTCATCTTTGAACTATGGGGCTCATGTTGAGCATGCCCTCAGTGCAAGCATTAAATCTGAGGGTCATTAGTTAGTGTATTTAAACCAGTCTCAAGTAAACATAACACTCTAGTTTCAGCCCAGCTTGTTTGCATAGGTAAGATTAGAGTCTGCTACTTGCCAAGTCACAGGAACTTCTCTCCATGTATCTGAAAGATAGGGCTATTCCAGGGTATTTGCTTCTTATCACCTGCTTTTAGTGGAAAATTTAATCCCATTAAGTACATAATTTGAATTACTGAATCCTGGCGTGGTCAGATTTCTACACTGAGGACACTGCCTTGGTACCAAACAAGTTCAGAATTGCACTCTCAGAAAGGCAGTTTCCTCCAGGTCTTCCTCCCACAGCACTGCGAGCTGTAGCACACAACCATCCGTGGGTGCCAAGGCAGGACTGACTACTCAAGAGCTGACCTCTAGACCCACAAGAGCTAAAGCAGACAACCCCAGGTAGCTCACCTGAGACCAGAACAGCACCCAGGCTGACCATCCCAACCCATTTTGGCAGGAAGAACAAAGCCAGTATGTTTGGAAAGCATTTTCAAACTTTATTTACAACTGTCACAGTGACAAAAATGTAGTTTGAAAAAAATGCTAGCTTCTCCCTGAGGCTCAAAAAAGAATTACAGAAATATAGAATGTATATCATACAACAGGAGGAGTTTTTACTGGAGTGCTTTGTTCTTTAGATACGTTCAACAACAAATAGAAATATACACAATACTTCCAAAAAAATGATGCAGACAGAAATATGCAAGTCTTTAGGGCAGACAGCAGGTCTGAAGTCCAAGGATTGCCATCTCCTTGCTGCCCCCATGGTAATATCTTTGATATACAGCTTTGACTTGGTGGTACAGATGGTAGAGACCAATAGAGTGTAACACTTAAGAGATAAGACGACTGGCTGGTATGCAGGTGTACAAGCTCATTCCAGTAAGACAGCAAGACTAGAACAAGTGTTACAGATACAACAGAGCTGAATCCATCACTAGAGAAAAATGGTATCACCACATCATGACTGTTCGGTGACCAACCGTCCACCAAGATGGGCAGGGAGCATGTAGAACCGGGTCTGCGCTGTGGACCGGAGACCAACCACAGCATAGGAACACTGAATTTCTCCTGCTTTGTGCTAACTCACCTCCAAACTCCTATCTGCCTGAAACAGTTATGCAGAGCTGATAAATTATTGCCATTATGTTTAAACACAAGCAAGACAAGACTAAAAACAGTATGTTAAAAGCAATTCCTGACCCCCACCAGCGTTTAGCTACTCATGAGGTATTAAAAATACAAATACACACGTCCAAATAGATTTTAAAAATGGAACCAGTTACAAGCAAAGGGGGGTGGCATTGGGATTATTATGAAAGTTTGGTTAAGGCCTTGACATTTTTTTCTCTTCCATGACCCCAGATTTGGTTCAGGTGGTACCTGTTCTCATCCTATCCCAAGACCAACTGGCTCCCAAGCTGGTCCCTGAAGCTGCAAGATCATCACTTCCCAGGAGAGCAGAGGGTTACCCTGTCTGGCAGCAGACTGTCCTCCTCCCCAGACGGAGACAGATGACTTCTCCTTGGAGCAGGATATGGTGAAGAGGACACAACCACAGACTTCATAAGCCAGTCTGCCCTTCATTAAACACCCATGAATGTTTCACCCTTGCTATGAAGCAGAAAACACACCTTGTCTCAGGACATCCTCTCTCAACAGACCCCTCCTGCAAATCCCCCTTCTCCCACTGGTGATCCACACTAGATCTGGTGTTTCGTCTTTGGATTACCTCCAGGTCTGGCCATACTCCCCACCATACACACCCCTACCAGCCTGTCCTGCACTGCCAGAGCTCTGAGGAAACCCTGCAAGTCCAAACCTAGAGGAGATTCCCCCACCCCAGCCCTTGCGAGCTCAATGACCAGCAAACTGGAGACATGAAACCCTACAGCATCAAAGAGAGCAAGGTAAGGAGTCATCCCCATCCTCTGGCTTCGGGTGCTTTAGAAGACAAGATGGGCCACAGCAGCCTCAGCGAATAGGAGAGAAAAATCTGAGGTGTTCAAACCTACATGAGCTCTTGCTGCAGACAGAAGCATCTTCACATCCGATGCGCACTACCTCACGCTAACCACCTGCAAGATAACCTAGGGCCTCGCAGCAGAGATGACAAGCAGCAGCCTAACATTATCCTGCAAATGCAGCTGTTCAGCGTTGAAGAGTCTAAAAGGCAAACAGAGGGGAAAACAGCTTTGGGAAAAGTGGCTGGAAAACAGGCTCAACAGCAAGAGCAAGAAACCCAACTACTCCTACGGACGCTCACGTCACCCTCGGAGGTGCTGAACCAGGGAGAGCTACAGGCCCTTCGTCAGTGGAGCATCTAGCCATGCTTTGCTACAGACACCCTTCCACCCCACCCCCCTCCCCAAACACACAAAATGGAAGCTGTAAGAAAGGCAAATCTGAGAGATGACGGCTCTGTTCTCACACTCATAGCCGGAGGCAGCTCCCGGCCAAAAGCTCCTGCCTCCAACTTTCCTCCCCTTCCCCAGGCTCCCCCCCTCCAGCAGTCCTTGCGTGGTCACCCTCTGCCATGTGCTTGGAATTTCACTGCTGCCTCCACCTCGGAAAAATACAGATAGCGATCTCGAGAACAGCAAACATTTCTCTGCGTTACTTCCTTCCTTCCTCAGGAGGTCTGGTGACACCGAGGGCTTCAGTTCTCGATACAGAGAATACAAAAAAACTAAGATCTCGCAGGTGCAAAATTGAACTTGTCTTTTTTAAAAAAAGACTTTCAAAAGAAGTGTGGCTCTTCCTTCAGAAGGGTGCAGTCCCTTGCCTTTCCTCAGATACCATTTATTGCTCCTTGTTGTCCTTCTTTGCGTCTTCACAGTTTTCTTCCTCCTCTTCCTCCTCCTCCTGCACAAGAAACTCTTCAGGTGGCCATCTCAGCTCACCACTCTCCACATCACCCTCCGTCGGCTCCACCACGATTGAGGGCAGGCGGTCCTTCAGCTTACAGTAACGGTCAAAGTCTGAGGGATCAGGGAAGATCTGAAAGAGCCAAGAAACAGTCTGTGAGAGGAGCTGCCTTCAAGCAGTTTTAGCCAAAACCCAACTCTCAAGACACACGGGTCTTCAAGGCAGACTAGTCTGGACACGGGAGTAAACCACTGAGTGATGGGAAGACTCTTAAACTTGTAAATAAGTTTCTCCAATCTCTGAGCATTGCAAGTAAGTGCTGTCCAAGAGGCTTCCAAAGCTCACTTGGACAGTGCTCAGCAAACGGGCATCTGCCCTTTTGGATATTTATCCAATGCCTCCACCCTCCTCCACCACATTTGCATTAATGCTCATGAGTTTGCTCACTGAGGTCTCTCAATCAGAGAATCTGAGATCTCATTTCCTGCTGCTGGTCAAGCTACAGCAGAGCACAGGCTTGTGCTCCAGGCTCCTCCAGGCAGAGGAGGTCTGTGGCAATCCAGTGCTAGAGCAGCCCAGAGCCTTGCAGTAAGGGCCTGCATCTGGTATCGTTCCAGGGCCACAGCACCGTGACGAAAGAGAAGTTCAACTGCATTTTAGAGATAATTTTGGCAGCGTTCTGCATGCTACAGCTACCACACATCAGCAGTGAAACTGAGCAGAACACTCAGCTTGTGGAAGGGTTGGAGACCGGGACCAAATTTCTTAGGGCAGGAGGTTCTTGTGGCAAAGCCAGCGATTATGTATCCTGGGGCAAGGAATATGAGGACCCCCTTATCTCCAGGACAGAGCAGTACCTTGTCCCTTCCCTCCCATCTATACCATTCCTATCAACTTGTTCTTCAGCCTAGGAACCATTAACCACACCATTAGGTCCTTAGCAACATTCAGTCTTCTGCCATCCAGCCACATTTCTCTATCCAGCCATGCTTCTCCCTCACATCCAAAGATTTGTGGCAACCAGGTTGCCAACCTGAGAAAGCCATCAGGTTGCTACTTGATGCAAAGCCAGGCAAGAAACTCAGTGTGAAGGTGACACGCAACAGGTCGGGCTCTTTGCCGACATCCATCTGGTCCTGGGGACAGTAGTGCAGAAGCCCAACTCCTACTACAGCTCCCACCATCCATATGCTTTTCAAGTGGACAAGAGTGAGGTCTTTGAACGTGGCCACATGAATGTGTGCAGTGCTGTATGAGCTACTTGCTATTAGCCACCGCCAGCACAAGCTAGACAGTAACTGTTTCTTGGAGCTTTGTGGCTTCTGCTTGGCCAAACAAAGGCAGTTTCAGACACACAGTGCATTACTGGAAGTAGGGTCGGTGGCTCTTAAGCATCAACTCGTTATCTAAACTCAGGATAGGAAAAAAATACCCTTGACATTACATGGTTTAGAAGGTTGCAATGGAAAAAGAAGTGTGGTTCAGGAGGTTACATAAGCTGATAATGTCATGAAAATAGCCTCCTGTGCAAGAAAAATAGCAGTATAATAATTAAACTAACCTTTGGCTGCTATCATTTTAAGCACATTAGGTCAAATTGGAGCAATTTCTTTGAAAATAGCCTGCCAGATTTTTTTTCCAGACACTAAGTAGTAGTCATTTCCTTACAAACAAATATCCCTGAAATGTGGTGTGCAGCTTTTTTATTTAAAAAAAAAACCCTAGCACAATCTTATCTCAAACAGCTGCAGGACAGGCCGAACCCAAGAAGGTCAGGATTTTTTCCACTAAGTCATGCTTTTTAATCGTCGAGGCAGCATGAAGCGAGATGTTGCAACTGCACTTTCAAGGGGTGTGGACAGTCAATGGAAAAAATACAGCAAGGCAGATTTCCTTGCATGTGATGAGCAGGGCCAAGCACAGGGACCCAAGGAAAAAAAGGGGTTGAGAGTAAGAAACCATTTGTACATCTGGGGAATGTGGTGAAAAAAAAATAAATCACCCTAACCCACCTCCCCACTCACTCCAGAATAAGGTGCATTGCCAGACTCTTTATAAAAAAAAATGGTAAGCAAGTACCAGTTTTCTGCTGTTGCACACTAGTAGTGCTACGCTGTATTTGTTGGTCCCATACACCCAATCTGGTCCCACTCCAGATTTAGACAATGGGAAGAAAAAAAAAACCCCAACTCTAAAACTTGCAGCAAAGTCCCCACAGGGAATGCAGCAGCTCAGCTCTGACCTGCGAGCTCTGCACCCCTTTTTGCACAGCAGCCAGGCCAGCTCGGCTAGCAAAAAGCCTGCCTACAAGCCTTTCTGCTCACATTACCCAGCTCTGGCCCAGGTTGTCCATAGAAGTTGTGGCTGCCTCATCCCTGGAGGTGTTGTTCAAGGCCAGGCTGGATGGGGCTTTGAGCAACCTGGTCTGGTGGGAGGTGTCCCTGCCCAGGGCAGGGGGGCTGGAACCCCATGATCTTTAAGGTCCCTTCCAACTCAAATACCATTCTATGACTTTGCATCTCCCACCCAACGAGTACGACAGCAACAGGTTAACTTCTCCCCCTCATTTACCAGAAGGAGCCACCTTGCTTACAGCCAAAGCAGATGCCTACTTCTGGCTGAACTGGGGGGGACAAGTGACAACTACCAACTGGTTGTGAAGGCAACCTAAAAGTAAGTTTAGCACCAGTTCCAAGGTATCTTCCTCACCCCCACCTCCTGGCGCAACACAGCATGAGGGGCTACAACTGCTTCTGTAGAGCCCCCCCTCCTTCTGTAGCTGAGTCCCAACTCCCAGCCCATGGAGAGACACATCCAACACCCTTTAAGCCCAGAGAGGGCACATAAACTGCTTCTTATACTACACAACACAGCTTCTCACAAGCCTCTCCAGATTGTGTTTTAGGAGCTGCTCTCCTCACGGACCGATCCAGCTCACATACGAATCACCCGAACTCTTGCCTTGCAGCTGGAAAGGACAGTGAAAAGCAGAACTTGAAGTGAAAGCTTGAAATGGTTTTAGAAAGATCATGTTTGCCTCTGTTTCGGATGATCTAGCTCTACTAGCCTTGAATGAAATCTTGGCAGGAAGAATGGAAAGTTTTCATTGCCCTGGGGAGTCTCATACCCTCTCTCAGCATTCACAGGGATGGAGAAACACCAAAAGCAGGAGAGATGTCAGACAATTAAGAGGATTAGCTCAGAGCTACCATAATCCAAGTGACACTTGTAAATTCAAAACAACTTCCACATGTGTCCTCCATACCAACACCCATAGTTAAAATGCTTGTCTCCCCTCTCATGGGGCTGAAAACTATTTCAATTCTATTACAGGGAGACTAAGGTAATGAGATCTTTCCAAATTACGTTACTGTTTTGGGAAAAGGCTTTGCTTCTTTGTGGTGATGCTATACAAGACTGAAAAGCCTACACTGACAAACATACCACTTCAGGTATAGGATATACTCCTGATGTACATATATCACTCATCCTCCCAGCTTTAAAAAGCTAAGTTTTTTGTCTCTTCCGCAGTATCAAGTAAATATCCCAAATCAGTATTTAAGCTCTTGAAATAAAACTTTACCACCATCAAGAAGCATGGCTAACTCATCTCAGGAAATATTTAAATCACCTCTCAGCATCATCTTTGGAGGAATTTTCCAGCTATAAGAAGCAGTGCTAATACAAATACATACATTTATTCACACAGTAGTCATGACTCAAACTGAGCTCCACGTAGTATGCACCCAGCAGCCCCTGTGACTCAGGTTTATGAACTATGACAACTCCCCAGCCACAGACAGATTGCCCTGTCTTGGGGGGGACAGTGGCTGGGAAACTTCATACATCATAACAATTTTCCATCAGAGTAACAAGGCATCAGGCAGGAAGGAGGAAAAAAACCATGCACCGAGATGCTCTGATGAGCTGCTGTCTTCAGTTTGCTTTTCAGTGAACACTTTTTTTGCATAGCATAGCTGCTAACGTGATTAGTTTTGGCTCTGTTTATCCCACATCCTGCTTCTGTCTTCATTTAAGGTCCCAGACCCTGGGATACACACTGACTCAGCCGACTAATCTTGTCTAGTAACCACGCATCGCATGTGCTGCGTGAACAAGTTCTTCTCAACTCGCTTGCTATCACCACCTTTTTGCAGCCCACTCTAAGACCTTCCACAGCAGCGAGCACCAGCCCTAATACAGGGCTTCTCCTGCAGGAATAGGGGCTGCACAGACAAGAGGCACTTTACAACTAAACAAAAATTCAGAGGGAGCTCCATTTCCACCCTTTGCCATCAGTCCCTCCAGGGGGGAGGTCCTCCAGGTGGGGAGATGCAGCCCAAACCCCTCAGCCACAAGCATCACAGCTCCCTGAGAAAAAGTGCTCCATGGGTGAGAAAGCCTTTTATTCATCAAAAATTCTTTCCCCACCAAGACAGACAACCCAAAGCTCTTGCCACAGACACTGGATGGAGGGTTAAGCCTATTTACCTAGATTCAGTCGGTCTGACGTGGTTCCCAGCTACCCGTGGCTGTGATTAGCCTAGGCAGATCCCAGCGTGATGCGATCATGACATAAAGAGCTCAGGCTCCCCATGACAACCAAACCCCAGCTGATGGCATGAGGAGAGCTCAGCCTCCGCATGCCAATCTCCGAAAAGGGAGCCTGAGGTCCCGCAGGACCAGAGAAGCTGGCCAGACAGCCGGTCTGCAGCGGAGCGGCACGCTCAAGCCAGGACATGGCTTTTGCTCAAAATAAACACCTCGGGCATCAAAGCCTCCCCAGCCCCGCTCAGACCCCACTCCCCTTCCAAGAAGGGAGGCAGGATTCAGGTTGAGGTGCTGTTTTTTTTTTGACAACAGCTCCATGAACTGATTAATCCGGCCACGGTTTCAGTAGCATCGCTCGTGCCGCTGCGAGATGGCATCAGAGGACAAGGTGGCAGAGCACAGATTGAGGCTTTTTGGAGAATGGGTCTATCTAAGGGCTGGAAAACAGCAAACGGTTCATTAGCTCCAGCTGGCAGTGAAAAAGGTCCCGGCTCACCGGAGACTGCCAGGCAGGAAGCCCACCAAGCCCTCCATGGGCACATCTGTTTGTAGCAGGGGCATCTTGAGCTGCATTTCAACCAGGGCTTTTTTTTTTTTGTTGTTTAGCAAGTCCCATGGGAATTATGGGACATCTATTAAAGATCCAGAAATAGCTCTTCACTGCAGGCACAAGACCCAGCATGACATCATCCCTTCAGCTGCATCTTCTGTTTTGTCTATGCTGCCCTGCTCAGGCTCATGCCCCTCCTTCCACCATTCACTTCTGCTCAGTCCCTTTAAATCTCTTGGCTGAACCATCTTCAGGGGGCTCAGAGAGCAGCTCTACATCGCAAAGGCAGCGATAAAACTGCTTTACATACAGAGGTTTTGAAATGAGCACATTGGCTTTACAAGCGCTTCGCTTCTTCACCAGAAAAAAAATAGAAAGGCATTTCTACACTGAGAGAGCACATTTTTGTGAGTGAAACCATACAAATTACTAAGCCTACACAGGCAACTCTGCTATCGCTGATACGACTGCCGCAGTCTGAGTTTTCACATCACTGCTTTAAAGAGCAGCAATGGCCAGCCCACCAAAGGGCAGGAAGCTTCAGCAAGGGGGTGCACACCTTCCACTGAGGTCTAGCCAGAGAAGACACCCCAGAGAACGAGCAGAGGCAATGAGGGGGTGGAGGAAGCAGAAGGAAAATGTTAACAAGCCAAGCTGCCCCCATAATGAACAGGAAAGACAGGAGCCCTGAAGTTCAGTGAACTCCCTGGGTCGGAGGAATCAGACTGCTGAAGTTTATGCTCTGTAGGAGTTTATTTGTTTACCTCCAAGTAAAGCAAAAATACTTTCGAAACAGTACTGCTGGTCAGACAAGCCTGTCTGCAGCAGACATTGATGTGCTTTTATAGCTCCAGCAGAGCTGCTGTACCACCTCCTCTGGTCCAGACAGCTCCAGGTCCGCATGTGGTGGTAGAAGCAGCCCCCAGGCTCACAGCTAGGACCCTATGGACCAAATCCCAGGCAGCCCCTGCTCTACACAGCCTGAACAGGGACATTTTAAACCTCATTTTGAGGTCATGTCTGCAGTAAAATAAATACAAGTTCTACTGCTAGGACAAGAGGAACTTCTGAAACTAAAAGCTTGCCTCTCCCAGTTCTGGCTCTGCTTTTTTTGCCCCTCGTTGCACTCCCATCGTGAGTGCCCGACTCCGCAGATGAGCAGAGGAAGATGCTGCAGCTTAGAACAACAATCCTCAGTGTAGGAGCAGTCATGCTCCATTAGCCCTGTCTGGGTTTAAGTTATTGCACTACAGCCCTCAGACTAGCACACAATTTTCCATGTACCAAACTCCCTCCATCAGCAAGATGAAGCACAAAGCGCCAAAGTCTGAGGGAGCACAAAGAGTTCATGGTGTAATTTGCATCGGATTTGTCCTTGCTGTTCTAACTTGCATTTTCAAGCCTTTAAGGATGCTTTCGACTTACCTTGATGTACACTGTGACATTCTCAGCCCAGCATCCAGAGGAGGAGGAGGGCTGGAGCCTGCTCCTCAATCCTCTTAACACTAACCTGATTTAGAGCCAGACCTCATTCACAGCCCACACACTGCTAGTGCCCCATCAGGATCTTCCATTTCAACACCTCAACCCTTTCTGCCACCAGTTTGGCTTCTATCAAGTACTGGCAGGCAGTTTCCAGTTCTTGCAGGCATTTGAAAAAAAAAAAGTCATCTATGACTAGACCACTACAGAGGAGAGACCCAGGATGCAGAAACCCTGCACAAATATGAGTCGTCAGCATTTATGACTCACATACCTTCAGGTTCAGATGATCCACTTAAAACCAAACAGGCCTGTTCCCCAGTTGGCCCAAGCAGACTTATCAAGGTCATTAGCACTTCGGGGAAAAACCTCACTGAAGCAATCATTAGAACAAGCAGGGCACCTAGATTCTGCCTCTCACCGGAAAATTTGGTTAAGTAAATAGAGGCATTTGACCTGACTGGGTTAAGCCTCTCCATATGGTGACCCATAAAGACAAGTGAGCATCCCATGGAGGCTGGTTTGATTGCTTCAGGTTTACAACCATTCTCATTGCTGTACACTCCCTCTATAGGGGAGGAAAGAGGCCATATGCTTTCCACTAACTCAAGCACAGCACAGCTATTCCCATACACACACAGGCAATAAACCAAACACCTTGTACTATCCAGATCCAGAATTCTGCCCCAAAAAAAGCAATGCATCCCTTTTTCCTCCCGTAGCTTTGGCTTCTGCTGGAGGCCTCAGCCATGGCCCAAAGTTCAGTTGATTTTATGCTTCAGTGCACTGTTACTGTCCCGTAGCTCATTTTTCAGATGTGAATATGCAAGTCTACAACAGCCCACCTCGTTTGAATGCACACTTAGAGCAACTGCCTCTGTGCAGGTTGTGTAACATCTGCAAAGGAAGGGCCCTGCATGGGATCTGCTGGTAAGAGTCACCCCATGCACAGACCAGAGGAGAGTTATCTGCAGGCACTCAGTGCCCCTCTTAAATCTCATCAACAAGTCTCCTGGAAAACATGGATCTAGCAGACTACAGACTACAATGCACAGCTCATCCTTTGATTAACTACCAGCTAGGAAACAAAAGCAGTACAAAAACTGAAGGATTAAAGCTCAAGCTAGTTTCCAAGACCACCTCTTCACCCTAGTCATTGATCTAGAGGTTAATGGCTAACTACATCATTCAGAATTTTCAGAATGAACACAGCTCATGCCTTCAGGTACTGATATCTCCAGTGACATTTCAAGACTTGTTTCGGCTGTCTCTGGCCTCACTGTATCTTACAGAACAGACTGTTAACCCTCCCAAATGAGCCCATCAGTGAGGAAAACCAAGAAATAGATTAAAAAAATAAGTAAGTGCCATATAAACAACTATCCTGATCATTTGTATGCCATGTTACAAAGAGCTCAAGAGTCCTCCCAGCCTGGTGAATGGGGCAAATCCTTAACCAACCCCCTGCCTCCCACTGAGCCCCCACAAATGGTGAATGAGTGAGGGCTCAATGGCTTCAGAAACAACCCAGTCTGATACCAGGTGGTATTTCAGACAACCGGCCACTGCCAAGGAAGCATTCCAGTCTGTTGACTACTTCTCACTACAGCAAGACCTGCTATTAGGTCAGGCTATGGAAAGGTACACTAGACCAAGTTTGCAGTCCAGCCCAGGCAATTCCATAAGGGATTACTGCCTAAAGCAGCCAGCAAAGCACCTACCTGATAGGACAGGCCATCCTTGCGGGGGCTTAGCCCAATCTCATCCATAGCTGGGGTGTTCATCATCACTTCAGTCATTTCAGCTGATCTCAGATAATCAGAGCTAGAAACAAACAAAAGAAAAAACAGCATTCAAATCATCTGAGGGGCTCCAGAAGGGCTGAGCAAGGTTTAAGTAGCACCAGGAAAGAAAAGCAGGCAGAAGAGGCTGTCAGCAATCTATTTCTGGTCCTTTCCTTCCTGCCAACCCCCTCGGAAGGGGGATGGAAGGAGGTAGTGAGGGTCGGTGCTACATCCCCTGCCCCTGGGAGCGACTCCCTGACTTTCTCCCCAGGAACACCTCGGGAGGCTCCACCAGCAGCCCTTCACTTCCAACCCCGCTTCCTCCAGCTCTGCCCCCTAAGGGGGGAAAGTCAAAAAACACCGTAAATAAGTGCAAGCGCTGGGGTTTTTTCGTTCTTTTTCTTTTTTTTTTTTAAAGCTGGCGTGTTTTAGCTCCTGCTGACTTATTTTACAACCTCAGGGACTTCCACACCAGCGGAGCGCCCGGCGCCAACGGCAGCTCTGCTTTTACAGCCTTTAATGGCATTCCCAGCCCGAGAAAAGCGAAGCGAATTCCCCCCAGCCCGCGGTGCTTTTATTTGCGGGATCATCCCGCTAGTGCGGGTCATTCCCCGCCGCTACCCGCCCCTTCTCCCCCGCCGGCGGAAAAAATCACGTCCCGGGGCTTCACGCCGTCCCGGGATGCGGGGGAAGGGGGGGTGGGGGGGTGATGGCTGAAGCCCTCCCCACTTCAAACCCTCACAAGGGAAGAGCCTCCCCCCGCCGTGGGTCGTGATTTTCCCCCCCTCCCACACACCCCTCCCCAACGCGGGAAGCGCCCACTCACCAGGGCAGGGGACACAGCACAGACATGAAGTCCCGGCGGAGGCTGCCCCGCACCCTCGGAAGGGGTGGGGATAAAGGGTGGGGGTGGCGCTACCCCGCAAACGGAGGGGCTGAGGGGGCACCGGCGGATGCTGCGGGGCGGGACGGGTCGTTACTCTGCCCGGTGCTGCCGGTTACCGACCGCTCCGCTGCTTCTTCTCCTCCTCCTCCCGCTGCCGCCTCCCGTCTGAGCCTCTCAGGCGCCGCCGCGGCAGCTTAAATGGCCCCGGGGGGCGGGGCCCGGGGCGAGACCACGCCCCTCCCTCTTGACGTCAACATTTTCATGAATGGTCTTTCGGCGCGCGCCGCCTTTTCGGCGCGGGGGGGGGGGCGA